CCCCGCCACCTACCCACACACACCTTTCCTTTTGTGTCTCACTACATCCATATCCTCTCGAGAGTGTGTTGCTATATAAAAAGATACATGCTACTTAAAATTTTTAATTTAAAAAATTACCTACAAATCATCACCCCGATCTTAAATTCTCTAAACAGCCTGTCAAGCAATGCTGCGCTAATCTGAAGAAGCTTTACTTTAATTGCAAAGAAGGCAGAGCTCTGAAAAGGCAGGCTAATAAATTAGAAATTGAGAAGCAAATGGACCCGTCAGAAGAAAATTACCTTGACTTTAAACGAACAACTGCTTGGTAATTCACTCTGGATTTATACAAGAATAAAATGTCGTCTGAGATCACGTTCTCTGTAATGCTTATTAGTCCCCAGACAGAAAACACACAATAGAAAAGAAACCCTAGCCTAGCGTTTTCAAAATGCTGAAAGCTTATCCATTCTACTTAAAGTTGATTAAGACACATATCCTAGATCTTTCAAATTCCTTGTACACTGTATTAAGCCTGTCCTAACCCAAAGGAGGGCCATGCTTTAAGTCATAACTCTTTTGTTTGCTTTACTATCAATCAGATTCAAATCCATGAAGCCTATAGAATCGACCACCGTGAGCTAATTATATATGAAACATGCTTTAATAAATTCCCATACAATTAAGAATGTTGCCAAATAACCGATTTCAAGGATAATTTTTTAACAGTCATTTTCTTTTTCTGGGGAGCTCAAGGCTGTCTTGGATCTTTAAAGTTCAAGTGAGGCTGAGACGCAGGGTGTGGGCTCCGAAAAATCGGAGAAGAGAGCTGAACTAGAAAGAGGAAAGCCTTATTCATTCGGACAAAACAAAGGGAGGCGGTGTGGAAATCACCTTTGGGGCAGCAAACTCTACATCCACAAGCCCTAGAAGTTAAAAGAAAAAAAACCCGCAAAGGCATCATTCTAAAGAAAAGTCCTTTTACCCTCTTTTAGGTCACGTCATCTGTAAAGCCTATCCTAATCTCCCCTAGGTTTCTGCACTGGAGATTGTTTTATTGTGGAGTTAGGGTTATCATCTCCAAATGTGTATTTGTTTGACATTACAGTCAATGATTTGCAAGACCAATGTTAGGTATCTTCAGAAAGCCGCCTCCTTGTCCTTATTCACCAGATTGGGAAACTTACTCGGTTGGAAGCAGAGTGGGTAAAACTGCAAAGGTTTTGTAACCTATGTTGTCCTGGATAACCCCCCCCTCCACACACACACACAAACTTATCTGTAACCCCTGCTCTGTTTTAAACAAGCTTGAGCCACACAAGAACCAAATGAGCATCTATTTGTCCTCCTCATTCCCCACAAGTTACTATGCTACTTTAAGATGAATCTAGCTACAAGGAGGACTTTCTTCAGAATAGGCTTTAAGTCAGTATTTCTGGTTTGACCCTTTTACTCCAGGTTGCCCACTCCACGCATGTACACACCTGCTCAGAGTAGAACACATTCCCATGTGACAGGGCTGCATTAGCTAAGGCTTATGCATTGTGCTGTATTAGGTTCTGCAATCTTATCACTAAATTATACATATTCTACCAGCAGCCTGTTGTTAAAGAAGGTTAAATTAATTTACATTCTGCTCATTATCTGGTGCTTAAATGACGCATTTTATCCCTGAGATTTGGTGGAGAATCTCCTTCTCAGACCCCACAGCATTTCACGGAAGACAATGCTCTTACATTTGTAGTGGTTTTTAATCTGATAAGACTCTAATTTGTGTAAGTCTTTCAAATAAGGGTTTTAAATGTTTCTGGTCATTTTTTCTTATTGAATTTCCTCTAATTCCCCCAAGATCATAAAGTATATGTGTAAAGTAAATATTTCCTCCCGTTGCACTGCCAGCCAATGACCTATAACTAAGTCAATATGAATCTAGCTCTATTCTGCCCACTGTGTTTACTAATCATATTCCAGTTTCTTCTTGTAAACCTCTGCATACCTGTGGTCCCACAATACTATGCTCCCAAAGCAGAAAAACACATGGGGGGGCCAAAGTGAGCACAGGCCTCTTCCTTATTTCAAGATTCAAACCTCAGAGCTCTGATTTTGGCTGGAGGCTTGGGGTGTTTGGGGAATTCACCCCCTCCCCCTTCCAAAACTTCACATTCTAGAAAGCGGAGACGCTCTAGTTAGAGAGCTTTCTAAGCGGTACCCATCTCTCAGTAAACCCACAGCATTTGGACTTAAGCTCTTGTGGCTCTCCTCAACTAGCAGAACCTGCATCATGGCAACTACCCACGTCCTAAGGACCTTAACGGATCTCCAAAGCGAGTGGAGACCCTGAGGGCAAGTGACAGTTCCCGGGAGCACCCAACTGTGGGAGAAGCAGAAAGTGCTGGTAATCTGCAGACAGCCCAACAGCCTAACACCAGAAGGCGTCTTGGATTGTGTCAAGCCATCGCAACGCTAAGGGAACAATAAAGATAGTTATCTGAAGAACACGGATGAGCATCTCTGTATCCCCTTAGCACTCCATAACAACTGAGCGAAGCTTTTCTTTGAGTCTTCCAGCTGGTTTCAACTCCTGATCAGCCTCCTGCACTCTAAACCACCACTGCAAATCCATTGCCAAGGGGAGTCGATTCCAGTTCCTAGTGACCCCATGTGAATACAAGACGCCTGGGTATGGGTTACACACACTAAGGAATTGTAAGTAGGTGACACTCTTGGGGCGTGGGGTCTAATAGGGTTCACTCAGTGTGAGACGGGAGGGTAAGAACATGATGGGGAAAGGTGGTGGTTGAGGGTGGTCTTGTAGTGGAGACCTAGAAACCCTTTCCAAAGAAGATGCCCTGGTGTGTGGCGATTCAATCAGTGCACCGGCCTGCACTGCATACATGAGGGAGAGAAGGGATTAAAGAATAACTAGTTATTTGTAGGGAATGCTCTATTGTAGCTTCTGCCTGGGATTTTCTTTGGTTAGAGAAACTACTGGGACTTTTGCCTCCATCATAAAAGCTTTACCGCTCAAAAAAGAAAAGAAAGCTCATGGTCCCTCAGGGCGCTGGACCTGCTGCACCCTAGTGCTACGAGAAAGGAAAGCGCAGTGCAGGGGTGGCATTTCAAATCCGGGAATATCAGTGGTCTTCCCAATGGGGGTGCTCTGTCTTATCCTTTTAGAAAGAGATCTGTGAGGAGGGAAACGTGTGGCAGGGGATTAGTCTATCTTCAGCTGGCATCTACCACCACCCACTGTAGTCTTACTTAATTTCTTCCTCGTTGTTAGCGTTAGTGGCGCAAATTCCTTCTGGAAGTCTTCCTGGTAAGCCTGCGCCCCTGAAATCTTCTGCGGAGGCAGCGAGGTTTGGGGGAAGGGCTGGAATCCAACCCAACAACCCTGGGCTCTTGGGAAGACTCTGTCTTTAGAGTTACCTAAATTATCATTTAATTAGACTTCGCCAAGCGTTGTCAGGCCCCGGGGACGCGGGAGTTCCCCCCTGGCCCCAGCCAGCTCCCGCACTGAGAGATTCTGCTCAGAACCTCTTGACAGGGCTCGAATGGTGTGAGGCACAGAGATCAGATGGGAACCTTGTACCCAGCCCAAGAAATAGCCCTTCCCTCGCCTCGATTTTCTGTACATACAAACCCAGCTGGAAGGGGCCTCTTTCCCCAACGCAGCGAAGCGGAAGGACCCAGAGACGAAAACGTCGCGGTGGCTCATTTCCCCCATTCCCTAAACAACATTATATACGTACTGGCTTTATACATACCTACGTTTTTTATGTCCCCGTTATACATACTAGTTTATTTTAAAAAAAGGTTGGGGAGGGCAGATTTCCCCACCTGAATTTCCTTAGCTACACCGCTCTCTCTGGTCTGTGCAGATGCACGCGGCACCCCTGGTTCT